CACACACACACACACACACACACATCACCTGCCCTCAAAACCATACCCTCCCAAGCACCAGACCCAAAGCCCTCCCAGGCCACTGATATGCCTCCTTGCACGCTCCGAGCCAACACAGCCCCGCTGCCATCGTCCCCGTACACACACATGAATAACAGGGAGACTGAGACATCTCATACTATCATTGAACTTCCATGTTGCCAGGGCATCGACCCCATAGTCTGCCCCTTGCCACCTGGGAGCCCCACTGAGGCCCAGAGAGGGGCCGGGACTTCCCTGGAATCACACAGGAGCCAGGGGCATATGTAGCAACCCCATTTGTCCCCACTCCAGGGTACTCTCTCTTCCAATGAGTGGTCGCCTCCTTCTCTGAGGACACCATGAAACACCCACTTGGCATCAGCAGGCCTGAGGGCTGTGGGGAGGACCAGAGGGCCTTGGGATACCTGTCTGGCTGCCCTGTTCCCTCCTCTCCATCCCAGGTGCCTGCTGCCTCCTTGCAGGCTCCCAGGCACCTGGCCACTCTGCCTGTGGCTCCTGAAGGCCAGGAGGAGGGCCTGCATGAGCACGCACTGGTGGCTGGGCCACCCTCCCCAGCTGTGGCTCAGACACTCCTCACGCTGGAGATGCTGGTCAGGGGCTCCCGCATCCGAAAGCTGAACGACCGGGAGCCCCGAAAGCTGTCCCTGGGCCTCAGTGAGCTGTCAGTGGTAGAGGCTCCAGAGTGGGCTTCGGCGGCCTGGGCCAGGCAGTCCCCAGGCCCTCGCAGGCCCAGGCTGAGACACCCAGAGCAGAGGAAGCCCAGCACAGCCCGGCACACCTCCCGGCTCCGGAAGGAGTAGATGAGTGGGTTGATGGCTGAGTTGAGCACGGCCAGCATCAGGATCCAGTCCATGCCCCTCAGGTACTCCTGTGCCCAGATGTTGGAGCCAAAGATGTCGGCCAGCAGCAAGCCAAAGAGTGGACCCCAACAGACCACGAAGGCCACCAGGATCATGAGCACCGTGTTGAGCAGCCGGCGGGCATTGCGACGTAATGGGGTGCGCGAGGCCGTCTGTCTGTTGGCCCGTACCACCCGGAAGATGGCCCCGTACAGCACCGTGATGGTGGCCAGGATACAGCCAAAGATGACCACACAGAAGAGGATGTAGGCCTTGGAGTAGAGCGGGAGCAGGCTGGAGCAGCTCTGGAAGGCACACATGCAGTTCCAGCCGAGCAGGGGCAGCAGGCCCAGCAGGGCGGCCAGCAGCCAGCAGAGCCCAATGAAGCCCAGGACGCGGAACTTCTTGGTGTTCCCACTCTCAGCCACCGGACGCACCATGGTGGCGAATCGCTCACCGGCGGTAAAAAGCAGGCTGAAGGTGGAGGCGGCCAGAGCCATGAAGAGCACGCCCTCCCGCAGGAACCAGGTGGCCGGTGCCAGGTGAAAGGTTCGGGCCCCAGACAGCAGGACATTGACCAGGTAGGCCAAGCCGGTAAGCAGGTCACTCAGCGTGATGTTGACCAGGCAATAGTAGACCCAGCGCCGGGACCGCATGCGGGTCACGATGGCCACCAGCACCAAAAGGTTCTCCAGCACCACCAGGCAGCTTATGGCCACAAAGAGCCCCTGCAGGATCCCCAGGCCCCCGTCCTCGGACCCGGCCCGCCCCACCAACCGGCCTGAGTGGTTGTAGTGCAGGATGATAAGCTGGCTGTGCCCACCAGCCGCCAGCTGCTGGCAGGCCTCAAGGGCCTCCGCCAGGGACCCCGTGGTGTTCATGGCAGTCCCCCGGGGCAGAATGAGGCCCAGGGTGGCTGGCCCCAGGCAGGGTGGAGCTGCAGACTTGCCCGGTCTTGGTTTCCTGTTATTTGAAATTTCCTGTTATGTTCGAGGTACCCCCAGGGTGGGGGTGAGGCTCAGGCGGGGAGGAGCATACCAACGGTCGGCTCCCACCCTGGCCCCAGGAGCATGCTGAGGCTGCCCCTGCTTCAAGACCCCTGTCTCTGTCCCCTTCTGTTCCTCAAAAGCCCTGGGGAAGTGCGCCCCACCCCCCAACTGCACCTGCCACCCCTCCTGGCTGGGCAACTCCTTCCAGGACCCGGCTGTTCTGTCACTGTCTCCCCAACTGCTCTAACTGTGTCTGGCACACAGTAGGTGCTTAATAATGTGTGCCAAGTGGCTGCACACATGAACACGAGCATCACCAGCTACCTTGTCAAAGGTGTGATGCACAGCATTTTATCCCTATGACAGGGCCAGGACATCTGCAGTACACCTGTCCACAGAAGGAGAAACTGAGGCCTGGAGAGGCAGGACCAGCTGTCCAGGTCACACGGCAGGAGGTGAACACCCACCCACAGACACACGTGGGTCTCTGGGGCCAGGACCCGCCTTACCATATATCAGTTGTCTCTCTTGCCCCCAGAACTGGCCCTAGTAGGAGCAGAGCTGGGGACTCCAACCCAGGGCAGCCGCTCACCTCTGTGGAGAGGAGCTCACAGCAAGTGTGGGGGTTCACACTACCCCCACTTCATGTCCATCCTGACCTGGCTCAGGCTGACTTAATCTAAGATGGCTAGGAACTGAGGTGTGGGAACCAGGTGGGGGGGATTCATGTTGTAGAGCCAACCCTTGGGGGCTTGAGGGGGGACACAACCTCCCTTGCCAGCCCTGCAAGGGGCACAGATGTCCCCATGTGAGGCAAGGTGGGAAGAAGGCGGGAGGGTGGCCCAGGTGCCCATGGCCCCTGACCAGCATTCCTCCCTTTGTTCACTGATCAGCTCTGGGAGAAGGACAGTTACAGTGAAGCTCAGATCGAGGTGCTGCCAGGGGAGGCGGTAGCATCTTGTCACTAGATGTGACCAAACAGAAATGGATCTGAAGGGGAGTTTGTAGGAGGAAGGGCTACACAGGAAGCTGCACAGGCCACTGGGGTTTAAGGCCAAGAGTAGGGTGGGAAACGCAGCCAAGTATTTCCCATGTACCACTCTGCGAAGTAGCGTAGTCCACCCTCAGTCCCAGCCTCACAAGGGACCACCCGACTCGGACTTATTAGGACAGGGATACACTGCATGTTCTGAGGCTAAGCCTGTACCTTGGACTGAGCCCTGATCCCACGCTGAGCCCTGATCCTAGATAGAGCCCTGATCCCAGACTGAGCCCTGATACTGAGACCTGATCCCAGGCTGAGCCTTGCTCCTAGACTGAGCCCTGATCCTATACTGAGCCCTGATCCCAGACTGAGCTTTGATCCCAGGCTGAACCCTGACCTGGGCCAAGCCTTTAATAAGCTGACCATGACCTTGACCCATGAACCTGGCTGAGACCCAGTCCTGGACTGAGCCCTGATCACAAGCTGAGCCCCAACTTTAGTTGAGCCCCAACCCTGACTAAACCATGCCCCCAGCTGAGCCCCTGACCCTAGGCCTGGAAAGCAAATTCAGGACAAAAGTAAAATGCTGTGAGTGAGCAAAGTTTGACTAATGAGGCACAGCTGTCCAACAGTGTCCTCTCCCATGAATAACCTGCTGCCCAGGAGGAAGGCTGTATGTGCATCATACCTTATTAAATCTTACTATCAGCCCGATGCTGCAGAAGAAAAGCCCCCTCAAGAATCATCCCTGGACACACAGCTCTAACAACACAAGTATACATGCAGGAGGTTATTCATTGTTGTTTGTAAACGCAAAATATTAGAAGCACCCCAAAAGTCTGTATACAAAGAGAAGCTGATAGAGTATGCTGCACCCAGAGTGGAACTCTAAGCAACTGTGAAAAAGAACAAAGATGGGGCGGCCAGCTAGCTCAGATGGTTAGAGCGCAGTGCTCATAACACCAAGGTTGCCAGTTCGATCCCCACATGGGCCACTGAGCTGCGCCCTCCACAACTAGATTGAAACAACTACTTGAGACTTGGAGCTGATGGGTCCTGGAAAAACACACTGTTCCCCAATAAAAAAAACAACAAAGAACAAGGACAATCTCTGTGAGTGGAGTGGAGTGATTTCCAGGTCATATTGTTAAGTACAAAAGAGCACAGGTCGTGTGGTACCTTTTGTGCAATAAAGAAGGGGGGATAAAATATACACATATCTGCTAGTTTTTGGAAAAAAAAACCCACAGGAAAGATAAACCAGGAACCAATGAGATAGGCTAACTACAGCAGGTGGGTGGGATTGAAATTGAAAAGAGGAGGGAATGTCCTTCTTTTCATAGTTTTTAAACTCTGCTAATGCTTCCTATAGTCAACAATAAAATCAAATCAACAAGGATGGAGAAAAAGAGCTTTAAGATTAGAAATAGAAAACAAATGAACCTAATTGTATTTCAAATGAAAAACGTAACTGCACATAAATAGAAAAGAACCAGCCCATGCAACTTTTGGACCAAAAGGAACTGCGAAGAGATTTTGAAGTTTGTTTAGTAGACATATTTTGGGGAGTGGTATGGGGGTAGTGATTCGGAAACTATCGTGTGAATTATGGGACTGAGCACAGTATCAAGTGTATTGATATTAAGAGCCAGGTCTTCACTGGAAGAGAAAGATGTAAATATGGAATGGGGGAACGTGGAAGAACCCCACAGGAATAGAACAGGATTGAAAGTGTCAGCGGGGACTCGTGATTTAAACAAAAGCCTATTTCCTGACTCTGTTCATTGAGACTCCCCAACAGCAATGAGCACATCAAACACCCAGATTTTGGCTTCTGAGTATCACCCCCTTAAAAAAAAAAAAAAGAGGGAGTGAGGCAAGAAGAGTGCAAGATGAGCATGAAACATGTTGGTGGGTCAGAAAGTAAGGTAGTGCTCGGAGGAGAGGGACCTTGTCAGAGAGATGCAAGAGTCAGCCTCAGGGGCTACTGGCCCAACCTGGAGTGATGAGGGTGTCAGCAAGAAATGATCTTAAATTCATAGAGACAGGAAGTAGGTGGTGGAGGCCAGGGCCTGGGGTGGGGGGGGGGGGGGGGCAGAGTTAGTGTTTAATGGTGACAAGAGTTTCAGTTTTACAAGATGAAAAGTTCTCACGTGGATGGTGGGGACGGTTGCACAAGAATGTGAATGTGCTTAATGCCACCAAATTGTGCACTTAATATGGTCAAGATGGTACATTTTATGTTGTGTGTATATTAATACAACAACAAAAAATTGGGGGAGAAAAAAATCTTTCCATATGACCCAGCAATTGCACTCCTAGCCATCTATCCAATAAGTTAGAAAAATCACCCTTTTGTAACCATCATGGCATTAGTTGATCTAGGCAAGAATCAACAATAAATGCTAAAATTCTTGAGTGGAAGTTTGTTGGGGAGCAGGATATTTATATTTATATAATCTCAAAGTATCTTCCTACAGATTACATATTAGTTACAAAGAAAAAAATGTCTTACTTGAGAAACCAGGGGAATGTCGTCTTAACCAAGCAATCCAAGTAAACATCACCAGGAATGTAATAAATGAACATGGCGCACTGAGGTCACATCCCTTCTAGGATATTCCCACCAAGTGGACAGCCTGCATCAGACCATGAGAAGCCATCAGACAAACCCACAGTGAGAACATGCCACAGAATAATAGGCCTGTATTCTTCAAAAGAGTCAAGGTCATGAACGACAAAAGGAGACCCAAGACTCATGAAACTAAATGCAGTAAGTGGTCCCCAACTAGGTTCTAGAATGGTGGGGAAGTTGCTGTAAAAGACAATATTGGGACAACCGAGAAAATTTTCATACGGACTGTGTATTAGATAATATTACTGTACCAACGCTAGATTTCCTGAACTTGGCCATTGCCTTCTGCTTATATAACAGGAGGTGTTTTTCACAGGAAATATATGGTGTTTTGGAGGAAAGGTGCATGAGATCTCCAACTTACTCTGAAATTATTTAGAAAACTTAAGTAAAAGAATGTGTATATTCTCTATAGAACATATAATATGCTTTTAGATTATGTTCACAGAGAAATATAAAGCAAAAGGTTAACCATGGGCAGATCTAGCTCAGGGGTCAGCAAATCTTTTCTGCAAAGGGCCAAATAATTTTGGCTTTGAGGCCCAGACAATGTTTGTCACAACTCTGCCCCCCATAGAGGACACTGCCAGAGACATATGTAAATGAATAGGTGTGGCTGTGGCCAATAAAACTTTATTTACAAAAACAGGCATAGAGCAGGTGGTTTGCTGACCCCTAACCTTCATGAAGAATAGATAAGAGTGCATTGCAATACTTTTGCAACTTCTGTAGGTCTGAAATATTTTCAAAATAAAAAGATGAGTGAAGAAAATATGGATTTCCTAACTTTGTGGTCAGAATGTATCTCTAAATATCATCTCCCTTTAAAAGGAAGCAGTGCTCCTTGGAGAAATGGCTGAATGCAGAGCTAGGGCTGGGAAAGTACAGGACGAGCCAAAAGCATCTAACTTGTGCCAGAACTATGAACTCTTAAGACCACCGTGGTCATGTCAACAGTACTGAGAAACTGACTCAAACAGGTTTCCACTGGCCACCAGCCAAGGGAAGCCTGGGGCTATCAGAAACTGGAAGAGACAGGAAGGATCCTACCCTAGAACCCTCAGAGAGAGTGTGGTCCTGCTGATGCCTTGATCTCGAACCTCTGGCCTCCAGAATTGGGGGAATACATTTCTGTTGTTTTAAGCCACCCAGTCTGCAATACTTTGTTACAGCAACCCCAGGAATCTAATACAATCCCTGACCAGCCCTTTTCAAAACTGTCAGTCATCAAAAACAGGGAAAGTCAGGGCCGGCTGAGTGGTGCGTTGGTTAAGAGTTGGCTTGGGACGCCAGCTCTGAGCAGCAGGGCCCCGGTTTGGATTCCACATTAGGGCCAGTGACACTGCGCCCTATACAGCTAAGATGGTGAACAACAACTCAACCTGGAGCTGGGCTGTCCTGTGTCGCCGGCGACGGAGTAGGCTGCAGCCCCTGATGCAGTGGGCTGCCATAAGCTACCATGTGTGGCCGGCAGCCAGTATGAGCGGCTGGCAGCTGGTGTAAGCTGCCAAGAGCCGCTGTGAGCAGCCGTCCACCGATCTGCCTCACCCGGGAGCAGCGCAATGATAATACCAACATGAGCCAGTGAAGCAACGTCCTCCACAACTAGACTAAAGAACAAAAGGACAGCAGCTTGTCTGTTCCCCTTCGCCTGATTCCTCAGCTCTGTTCCCATCCCCCAATTCCCCAATAAAATCTTAAAAAAACAGGGAAAGTCAGGGGCGGCCAGTTAGCTCAGGTGGTTAGAGCACAGTGCTCATAACACCAAGGTTGCCTGTTTGATCCCCAGATGGGCCACTGAGCTGCGCCCTCCACAACTAGATTGAGGACAACTACTTGACTTGGAGCTGATGGGTCCTGGAAAAACACACTGTTCCCCAATAAAATCCTTAAAAAAAACAAAAAAAAAACAAGGAAAGTCAGAGAAACCATCACAGCGAAGAGGGGACTAAGAAGATATGATGGCTAAATGTCATGTGGGGTCCTGGATGGGGTCCTGGGACCAAAAAAAGGACGTTAGGGTAAAACTGAGGAAATATGAATAGTGTATAAACTTTAGTTAATAATGTGTCAGTATTGGTTCATTAATTGTAAAAACGAAATTTAAAAAGTACCAGATTAATGTAAGATATGTAAGATAATGTTAATAATGGGCCGGCCGAGTGGCGCGTTGGTTAAGAATTGGCTTGGGATGCCAGAGGGCCCCTGTTCGGATCCCACATATGAGGGTCAGTAACACTGCCCTCTACACCTAAGATGGTAAACGGCAGCTCGACCTGCGGCTGGGCTGCCGTGGGTCGCTGGCGACGGCGTAGGCTGCAGCCCCTGCTGCAGTGGGTTGCCATGGGCTACCGTATGTAGCCAGCAGCCAGCGTGAGCAGCCAGCAGCTGTAGTGAGCGGGGCGTCCAAAGGCTGGTGACTGATCTGCCTCGTCCGGGAAGAGCGCAATGATGGTGCCAGCTTGGGCCAGTGAAGCAACATCCTCCACAACTAGACTGAAGAACAAAAGGACAGCAACTTGTCTGTT